GTTCGTCATTTTTGACTCGTGTTCACTCGTGTTCGTCATTTTTGACTCGTGTTCACTCGTGTTCGTCATTTTTGACTCGTGTTCACTCGTGTTCGTCATTTTTGACTCGTGTTCACTCGTGTTCGTCAGTTTTTGACTCGTGTTCACTCGTGTTCGTCATTTTTGACTCGTGTTCACTCGTGTTCGTCATTTTTGACTCGTGTTCACTCGTGTTCGTCAGTTTTTGACTCGTGTTCACTCGTGTTCACAATTTTTTGACTCGTGTTCACTCGTGTTGTCTCGTGTTCACTCGTGTTCTGACTCGTGTTCACTCGTGTTCACTCGTGTTGTCTCGTGTTCACTCGTGTTCACTCGTGTTCTGACTCGTGTGGTCTTTTAGAATAGATCGTGTTGTCCGGGCCAAGACGAACCAGTTGGGTTTGAATACCCCAATATAGAACAATACATATCACCGACACAGAAATATTTTGATAAAGTTGAAACGGACGAACAAAAGCTGCGAGTAACAATTGAGGAGAAAGAGCAAGATTTGTTGGAACTTGAAGAGAGTTTCCGAAAATCTGAAGATTTCATTAAGTTTGGCGCCAGATAACCCTGGCCATAACAAGACTAATTGTTTGTTTACGCCGTGCGAATCGGCCTCATATATTGTCATGATATTAAATTATACGTTTACTTCTAAATCGTTTTTGTACGTGGAGTGTTTTGCTTACTATTAGGAGACGGCGAGTAAAATCTCTTTAGACTTTGAGCTGATTTCACTGCTCTGAGATGAAGTAGCCTGCGTGCGTATTTCACTCTCGATTTCACTAATAATTCCGAACTTTAAATCGCTTTATCTCTTCCTCGCGTAAGAAAAATTTAGAATATTTCTTATGCCATGACCATATGAGTCATATTCGATTTTAAATTCGTACCTTTTTCCTTTCATAGACATCATTTTCAGTATAAACAAATACACGCTCGAATACACGGAGAAAAACACAGAAAGTTTTGAGACAAAACGCGTATGGCTTTGTGGGCGGGTCGCTAACGCTTTGTGGGCGTGGCGGTCGTGCGAAATTTTAGTGGCTCGCACACTTCGGTGACATCCGTAGTATTGACGGCTCTGAGCTAACTGTTGCTGTTCCTTGCACGATTATGTGCGTGAGGCACTTGCCTAATGCGTAGTCGTCAGGGAGACAAAGGTGTGACCCTTGGTAACGGGCGATTAGTTCTAATAGCGGGCGATTAGAACTAATCGCCCGCTACAGCGGGCGATACGTGATTAAACGTCCCTGTTGAAACAAAAGAAACCCGGGCAACTATGCTATTAATGTTAGTTAATGCAACCTAGTTGTGCCCATCAGTGGTTATACCGCACTCTCTGAAATTAAGAAGGGGTTAATTTCGCTTTAACAACAATCCTAATCCTGTTCCACTTAACCGGCTTACCCTAATCCCAACATCAATCCTAATCCTTACCGTAATTCTAACCTAGCCCAGAACTAGGCGTTTACTAGGTTTACTGTTATATTTGCAGGTAAATAGTTTTAAACGCTGAATGAAAATATGAGGCCAAGGTCTGGGTTAATCCAATCATTGTCATATCGGGTTAGTCATATGGAAGTCTCTCAAAGTTTGCGTTAACAATACCAGCTTTACGTGCGAGAATACTTGCAAGCCTTCGTTTCACTTCGTTTTCCCAATTTATAAATGCGAAACAGGCAATGAACTTTGGGTAGATATCAGGATTTTAGGCCTCTACACTCGATAACTAATTGCAGAAGAGTTTTGTAGATGAAAATTTCGAGTGTGAATTTTATACATTTAACAGACATAACCAGGGGCAGTGGCGAAAAATGCAACTGGCAGAGGACCTATAGCTGCACTTTTCGCAGATGTTCCTGGTCAAATCTAATAAATGTTCCATCTACAAAATCTTTGGGTGCGTGCATTAGATAAACACGTGACACCTCCTGCACAACTGGGGCAGGTTTTTCGAAAGATCCATTATTATGATAACCTGGGTTGATACAGAAAAACACACGCTAACAGCGCGTTTTTGAACCGGGGTAAGCACAAATCGATCATTGAGCGACCCGCCCCAGTTTCGTGTGCTGCATAGAAAGAAAGTTATGTTTTTTCCAACACTCGCATTCGAACGAGGTTCTACATTTTATGTTTATACTCGATAACTACTACTGATAACATTACTACTAACTACAGTAACTAATTGATCTGAAGACAAGGAAAGGGCCTGAGACTAGCAACCAAATAGAAATCCATTTAAGGTCACTACGATAAGGAGGTTTTCAAGATGGCGGCCACTTTTCAAGATCGTTTTAAAAATGCGAAAAAATCAACAACCATGCACTAGTTTATAACAATCTAAACTTTACTTTACTTTAAACCTTACTCTTACCCTAAGTTTAACTCTGAGTTTAAATTTTGAACTATCTTAAAAACCTCCCTCTCTTCCATTCCTTTCAGCTCTCCATTCAACACTCTTGCTCATCCCTGGGACGAGGAAACACTATTTCTCTATTTTAATCACTTTTTTCTCAATCTTGTTCCCCGAGCCTGCGATCCTCGGGAAGGAACGTGAGGCTCTGGGATAATCCATTGCCGAAAGCCAGGAATTCTGGCTAAGATTGAACTACGCATTCTATTTCAACGGCCAATCAGATTCCTCCCTGAAACGGACTATCCCATAGCGTCACGTTCCTTCCCGAGGATCACAGGCTCGGGGAACGAGATTGTTTTTTCTGTGTTTAGTTCAATATGAAACTACTTATGAAATATTTTTGTGATGGAAATCACAAGTCCTTTAAAAATATAAATACATTTCACAAGATATTAAACAGTTCTAATCTGAAAATGGATTTCTATTTAACAACTAACCCCAGTCCTCTTCTGTGTAACAATAACAACTAACCCCAGTCCTCTTCTGAATAATATAACAACTAACCCCAGTCCTCTTCTGAATAATATTGTATACATGGTCTATAACGATTTCCTAAATATGGATACAAAACTTTAACTATATAATTCCATAAATACCCAGTTTTGTAAATAAAACCTAAAAAATGTTCTAATCATCAGTAAAGATGGCGACGAGGTGTTCCAGTTTGCTTGCAAGTTGTGGATAGCGGGCGTCTTCTAGTGCCTCTTGGAGCTAAATGATACGACACAATTGTTAAGGGCTTTTTCGTGAAATTTCGACTTCTAAAATTTTCGAATACAATACATTGAGTGCTGAACTTTTAACCGCAACAGTAAGATCACAAATCTAATGTTGTTTATAAGGTATGTTGTTTATAAGGTATGTTGTGCTAGGGATCAGCCATGTCCTGTCAATTTTGATTTCCGGTCATTAGAGAACTTAAGCTTCGCGTTCAACGACAAACGTCAGGCAAAGAATTTACGCTACAAAGCAATAAAAAGTCAATGGGCTTGTTGTGTCATATGAAAGAAAAAATGACACATAGAAATCCAACGAAAATTATGCCAATAAAAGTCGGTCTTGCCGTTTGCCGTTCCCGCTAACGTGAAGCTTAAACTCTCTAATATATAGTTTTCCACGTGTGGTTTTAAAATTCGCTTTAACCACTCGTGCGTGGAATTCGCGTTCCAGCGAATGGACGGTTTGTTGAAGGAAATTTAATATTTATGGTTCGTGTATACACAAGAAAATGTATGTGAACGATTCGAAACTCTTTATGGCGCTCACACAAATATAATTTCCAAGACCCTTTCAAACCATTCCAACATCTGGTCCAAAAAAGTCAAACTTGGTTCAACATCGGTCAACACCAGCCAACATTACCAAACATCGCTCTCCTGCGCAGAGGCTAGTGTGCTTTCTGGACATCCTAGGCATTGATTACCCTCTAGCACCTTTCGCTTTTTTGCGTTGCCTCACTACCGCCTAGCGACTTTTCATTTTGCGCCTTTTTGAATGCCTAGGAAGTCCAGGAAGCCTCTGCAGTGAAGAGAGATCAAACATAGTGTTCAAACAGATCCAACATTGTTGGTTGATGTTAGATGAAAATTAAAAACGTCATCCGACATCTTCTAACATCAATTAGCATTATTCATGATGTTCAAATCGATTCAACAACCAGTGGCGGACACTACAGGAAGAGGAGGGGCGAGGGCAATAATATGTGAAAGCCTTTCACTAGTGGCTGAATAACTGTGTACCAAAGCTATTAAGCAAATTTGCATGAAAAGTACTGCAAAAAAGTTCAAAGAAATTTAATTTCCAGCAACAAAAGAGTCGACCCAAATTTGCCCCCTCAATTTCTCGCCAACAATGAAGAATGCTGGATGTTTGCTGGATGATGTTAACTGAAAATTTCGAAAAGTCTGAAAAATTCAAACGTGTTCCAACATCTTCCAACATTAAACAACACCAACGTAATGCTTAAACCGACCTAACAATGATGCATGCAACAATGTAGGATGATTATGGACCAACGTTTTGGATTGGTTTGAACAGACCTGTACGATGAAGAAAAACCTGGAATAATGAGAACTTACCTCATCCTGGTAATCCGCAGCGTATTTATACAGTTCTTTCAAAGCACTGTCCACGTTGAAATCCTCAATGTAATGCTGTAAGGTAAGATATAGATCAAACTTGGTTAATAATTATACTTGGTACATATAGATCAAGTTCGAGCATGGATAAAGATTGAAATATACAGTAATAAAATATGAACGGCAATACATGAAAGGAGAATGATGAAAAAGCTTTCTAACTCAGGGAAACTCTTGCATGAAAACTTACAGCTGTAAAAAAATCTTTGACCTCTTCATCTGTTAGTCTTGGTGCGTTTGCTATGTCCTTGTAAAAACTGAAAAATAAGGAGTGTGATTTAAAGTTACTTTTCTGCGGTCATTACACGCGGGGCAACTGTCAGACCTCAGGGATCTTGATAATCCAAGCCCGAGAGACGTATATGTTGCGTTCAGTAATCGTTGCAGGACAGCAGATGGTGGTTATGCAACTGCAGCAGTGACGATGATAGAAGAGGGTGGCCATACAACTGCAGAAGTACTATTTAAAACACGAGGCGCAACTCGAGTGTTTTATATCTGATAAAGCACGGACTGTGGGTGTTTTAAATGGCTTAAAAAACGAACCATCTTATGAGTTCATTGGCGAGTAATTTTAAAAAAGTTGTCTAAGCCGAGAAAATCAAAGCTAAAGTTTATGTAAATCAGTAAATGAACATGATTTTTCATCACAAGTAAAACCATGGACATGGTAGTGATTTTCTTTGTCTTTTCCTCATAATTATTGAGTTTTTTAAGTGAAAGAAAACGAAGCAAGAAAAACTAAATCGAATCTGTCTCTTATTGATTGGCCACCAAGTAAGTGGACGTTAAACTGGAAGGCATTATCGCACAGTAGATGTTGGTGGATTGCCAGTTATCAGAGAGAGAATATGGGCAATTCCAGCTTTTAATTTATGCACGTGGAGTATATCATATTGCTGATTATGCTGAAATATTTCAATATTTACAAGTATAAGCTATCACTCGCAATTTCATTGGTTGCTCAGCTCCGATATTATTATCACCTCCGGACAAAAACAAAATGTCTTCCCGTTTCGTTTTGGTTACAGACCAGCAAATATTTTTACTAAATGAAGCTGTGGTTTCGCCAAACAAAAAGAAAGCTACAAACTTTTGTTGAACACTGTGTAGAGGTATTCTTTAAAGCTATCTGCTGAATAAAACCGAAAGCGTGTAAACACTGTTTTGTTTAGAACTATTACGGGAGCTGAAATACAAATAGTTTTCATTAAATATATTTTCATATTTGTGGTGTTACTCTGAGTGTATATCCACACCGGGCGAGCTTGAAAAATATGCCCGGCCACGGTGGGATTCGAACCTACGACCTTTGGAATACTAGCCCAATGCTCTTCCAACTGAGCTACGCGGTCAGGACGGTTCGAGTAAGTGATATTTCGGAACAGAATCTAGTTCCTTCGATACCAATGTTTTCTAGTAATATGAATTTTTCCTGTGTTGGTGTAGTGTACTCAGGTGAATATGATATTTGTGGTGTTACTCTGAGTGTATATCCACACCGGGCGAGCTTGAAAAATATGCCCGGCCACGGTGGGATTCGAACCTACGACCTTTGGAATACTAGCCCAATGCTCTTCCAACTGAGCTACGTGGTCAGGACAGTGAACTCTAATAATAACTGGAAGGCTAAGTCAGGGGGGGAGTTGAAGCCGTGCTTGAAGCTTTTTTTGTAGGTAGACCCAGTCCTTTTTAATTTTTTTTTTCAAAATATGCACATTTTTTGATCAGAAAAATCTTGCCCCAAAATATTAGTTATACTACCAAATTTAATTTATATCAGTAGTATGATAAATGAATTTAATATTCGCAAAGCAAACAAATCACGAATTAGCAAAAAAAATGCGAAAACACGACCATAAGCATGAACGGTCTGAAAAACCGCGCGTTTTAGGCTGCTTTTTCTGAGTTTTTGGAAGTTTAAGATAAAACTAAGACGTCATACCTCAGGAATTTTTTATACCCATGCAAAATACATCTGTATGCGAAGTTTCAAGAAGATTTAACGTTTAAGGTCGAAAAAAAAGCATTTGAAAATTGACAAAAATATTGCCATATTCAAAGTGCTCATAGTGGCCAACAAGATGCCGATGACGAAAATAACATCACTTGAAAAACGCCAATTTATTTATGTTTAAGAGCGACTAAAACAAGGACTAAAAGCTCAGGATCAATAACAATACCTGGGGTTTAGTACAACATAAGTTTTGGGACTGTCAAAATGTTTTATAGTATATATTTTTGAGTTGAACGGCGAGATTTCCTTCGGCACATCCAAACTCTCGTCATTTTTTCAAAATACAAAAGCAAAATTCCTTACTTTTTGCTGCAGAGAGATGTAAAACAGTCGGAACTAATCGGAAACTTGGTTTAAATCCCAAGTCATTGTTGTATTCCCATGGGAAAAGTGTTTTTCTTGCAAATTTTTGCTCGAAAACAAACTTTTGACAGAATTTTTTTCACTCCTCGAAACTCTCCTTAGTCCTTTTGAAAGTTGATTTTCCCGCGCGCCGGCTTCAACGAATCATAGACTTTCATCATAGGAGTTAGCCTTCCAGTTATTATTAGAGTTCACTGGGTCAGGACGGTTCGAGTAAGTGATATTTCGGAACAGAATCTAGTTCCTTCGATACCAATGTTTTCTAGTAATATGAATTTTTTCTGTGTTGGTGTAGTGTACTCAGGTGAATATGATATTTGTGGTGTTACTCTGAGTGTATATCCACACCGGGCGAGCTTTGAAGGAATTAGATACTGTTTCGAAATATCACTTACTCGAACCGTCCTGACCGCGTAGCTCAGTTGGAAGAGCATTGGGCTAGTGTTCCAAAGGTCGTAGGTTCGAATCCCACCGTGGCCGGGCATATTTTTCAAGCTCGCCCGGTGTGGATATACACTCAGAGTAACACCACAAATATCATATTCACCTGAGAACACTACACCAACACAGAAAAAATTCAAATATATTTTCGTTGTTTTTCTGGTCGTTTTTGTTTTGTTGTGGTATGTGCTAAAACAATTATTCACCTCAGTGTCAGTGAATAATGCAAGAATATTCACCTCTGCTCAACGCTTCGCGTTTTGATGAATATCCTTGCACTAATCATCTCTACTTCGGTAAATAATTGTGAACTAACAGTTTTGGAGCGTTTGGAACTACCATTTGCACGTACCCAATCTGTACTAAAACCACTAATTCTGTTTTGTGATTGACGCGGTTTAATCAAAGAATCTTCCCGTTGAACCAGAGCCTTCGCGACGTTTCAATTTATTATTTACTGTCGAAGGCTCTGGAATCCAGGGTAATGTGCACGTTGCTCCGTAACGCTTCCTGACACCAATATCTGACTAATATGACGGAACATCTTTTCAAGATTGATCATATTACTGATCTCACCGAACTTTGGTATCGTATCAAAAAAGCGTGAAACTACAACTCCCACAAATGTCTATAACCACACCCACATATTTTTGCGTTTTTACAATTCTAATTTTAAACCGCCAATCAACGTTTTATAGCAATCGTTACCAATCAATCGTTTTATAGCAATCGTTACGTTAGGAATGGGATTAGCTGTCCATAAAATTAGAATTGCAAACTTGCAAAAATATGTACGTGTGGCCACATAATGGCGATATGAATTGTTGCTGCAATGCCAGAGTTTGGTGCGATTCGTAATATATACCATCTTCTGCAAGGTCAGTGAAAGCCACCTCTTTCACACAATTATGTAACTGATGTTTTTTATCGCGATTGTCTAAATTTAGCACGTTGACATGTGATCAATGGTATTACGGTTACATGTGAAGACTATGGTTACATTTCATAATGTACCTTTGTACTTTTTGTTTGTATACTGGTATTTCCTTAGCATATAGCAGTTTGTTTGAGGGTGAATCCTGTAAATGACAGAAAAAGAAAATATTTAATTAATACCAATATAACTAGGATTTTTTATATAAAGAAGTTTTTAATTGATTTTATATAAGACAACCAACCTTTCCAAGAATGTGCTCGGAGACAGAACAAGAGTCCATGAATAACTACACAAGGAAGAGTATTTTACTCCATTGCAATCTAAATCATGTTATCACGTATACAGGCCTGCGTATCAGTTGTTCTGTGCAAAACACTACTAAATCATATATTTTATATCTATGCTCTCAACCGGTCGGTACCATTGTAGATAGTGACACACAGCTGTGGTGTGAGGAGATATAACTACCTGAAAAGTATAAGTAGGATTTGGACGTTCAGAGCTAAGACCCTTTGGTCGAAGCAGAAATTGTAAGCAGAACTTCGACGTTTTTGAAGCTCTGCATATATTTTTCAGGTAGTCAAATCTCTCTCACACTGCAACTGTCTCTTATCCGTGTTAACTAGTGTTAGAACATGATGAGAAACACTAAATAAAGCTCTGGGTTTAAGGTAGGTAAAGTTAGAGGGTAACATCATCTCTCCTTGCAGTTGAGAGCTAAATTGCGGAAGATGCAAACGTGACAGAATTGAAGGCTTATTATGGGCGGTTTTGGTTACCACATATTATGACTAATGTCTGATCACGGAGCACAGCTATGAAGTGGATATAGGTTAGTTTTTGGTGGTGAAGAATGAAAACCGTTGGGTATTCAGTGAAAAACCCTCGACGCACATTGGAAAATTAACTATAACCACAACTCTACTTAAGTGGTCATCATCTTAATAATCAATGCACGCCCATTGAGATACACTATAGAAATGTTCAGTCACTTAATTTATTCCAGATATTCTAGATTCCAGTCTCTCACCTGAGCAATAACACTCAAACATGAATCAACAATCGGTGCTTTATTAACATCAAACAGAAAGTTTGGATTCTTGATAAGATTCACCCAGAACCTCAATGGCAAGCTGAAAATAAATACAAAGACATCAAGAATTTCCATTCCTGCTGATAACATACCAATGTGGAAAGGTTAAATTCATTTCTCAATTATCATAGGGACAATTTCTCCATTTCTAATAGACCAACTTAACTTGGTATGCAAATTGCCCATTTCAATGTTTATTTCCACTTTTGAGAAATGGAATATTTTCAGTTAAATGATATTTAGGTAAGAAGCAAGGCATTCTGGTGAGCATGACAATTGACAATGAAACCAAAATACTACATCTTTTAATAGTGTAAATAAGCATTGAAATAAGCAAGTTGGGGTTTAACGAAACATATTTGGCATTACACCTTGCTGCCGTGAACGTCTCAGCCTAAGCTTGAAGGTCTTGTAGACGGAAATTATCGAGTAGGAGTGTTTTAAATACATTTATTAGACCTAACCAGGGACAGTTGTGAAAAATGCAACTACAGGTCCCTGGCAGGAAACTGCGGACCTGTGATTCCAGTCGGCAACTCTCTAACTGAGCTATAGAGGCCAGTTGGCACTAGGTAGCCTCTGTAGCTCAGTTGGTTAGAGCACTGCACCGGAATCGCAGGGCAGCAGGTTCGATTCCTGCCAGGGACCTGTAGTTCATTTTTCGCAACTGTTCCTGGTTAGGTTCAATAAATGTATATAAATTTCCACTCAATAATTTCCATCTACAAGATCCTTCAACTATTATTGAATCGAGTGAGATGCCATAAGCTTAAGCTTGCCCACTAAAGTACCTGTTATTTTTCCAGGTATGCATGACTTCAGGATCAGTGATATTCAGCTCTTTCGCTTGATCATCCAGGAAGTCAAACAGAAACTTGATGGGTAATGGAGGACGTTCATTCTTTCGAAATGTCGGGAAGATACAGTCAAACATATCATCAACATATTGTTGCAATGTACCCTAAATTGAAGTTAAGTATGTTATGTTTTTGTACAGCTAGCATGCGTATAGCACTCACTGAACAGTTAAGTACAAAATAGACGTAATAAAATAGTGTAGAAATGTAGTTCAAAATAAATTCCGACAACTACATTCCCACAATTTCCATACAGTAAAGGTTGCCGACTCATTTGCTAAATACAATGGCCCCATTAGCTAGTTGTAAAACTGTTATGTCCATCTAAGATGAACGCAACTTTAACGCTTGTCAAAAGCATTTAATAGTTTTGATCTGATCAGCCAATCACGTTTAACCAGTGGCGTACGCTGGGGGAGAGGCAACACCTACGAATAGTGGTCATATGTTTACAATCAACCCCCCAGTATTAACTAACCTTGTGTTTTTTTGCTGTTGCCCTGAGTGTCTCCACACTGGGTAAGCTGAAACGTTGCTTGGCTGTGGTGGTGCAGTAATCAAACCTGCAAGCCTCTACCAACTGAGCAACGAAGTCAAGTCGGTTCGAGCATCTGATATTTCGGAATTCAATCTAGTTCCTGCCGAAAGGCCGAGCTGATTGAAACTTTCAAATGTTCGTTACAAACATTGTAGTTTCACATGGACATGCAATAATTTTTTATCAGCGACTGCTCATGAGTCCACTTCACTTTAAAGCATATTGAAATAAATGACTTTATCAAACCTTTGTACTCAACAGTCGCGTGAGATAAATTTCTGACAACATTTTGCTGTGTCGTGGGTCATCTTTCTCTTGCACAAACGAGTCCACAAGCTTTGTCTACAAATACGCAATGAAAAATCAAGTTACGATGTTACATGAAGTGTGGAAGTTAAGCTT